AAAAAAACTCTTAACATTTAACGATTGACGAGGAGTTAAAACTAATGTCAATTACCCAATCTTCTCTTATTATCTTGGATGCATTGTGGGGGAGGGGGCACATAGGACACACAATCAAATATTGTCAAAAGGGACAAATTTGGTTCTCTTCGGGAGATATAAAGAGTAAGAAACTCAAAATTTTGAAGATTTGACATTTTATTTATAGGGAAGGATTAATAAAAATGAACATGTGTATATAAAATACATGTGAAGTAGAACTTCAGGTTCTCATTTGTTGGAACTACGGGTTCTATACACTAATATCATTATTTTTAATGATTGAGAAAATGTCAAGAATTCAACTCTTAACAGAGCATTTACAATTGACAAATAAAATTTAAATATTGAATTTTATTTGCAATATCTTATAAACTTCTTTCTTGAACTTCAGGTTCACATCTTTTTTTTTAATTGAAGAATATATATAATCTAGCATATTTCATGGAATTTATCTTCCATTCAACTCGTTCAAAAACCTTCCCTCAGTGTCTACCTACCATTGTGGTATCTTGATAATATGTCTTAATTTAAGCATATTAAGCATCCGCTCCAAATAATTACCACATAAATTAAATGAAGATTCAAAAACCAGTATAAAATGATTTGTTCTCACAATCAAAAGTATAGCCACCAATTCGATGCACTTTGCATATTAATTAGAGCTGCAGGCTCTTTTGTAGCTAATGATGTTCAACATAACCTATAAATTGTGTCCATAATATAATATATGGACAAATATCATAAACTTCAGGTTACGAGTTAATTGTCAACAAATATGACAAATATAACGATGCATCATATAAAACATTTAAATTGCCATCACGAATAGGTGATGGACCCAATCAATTCTACTTGAACAATTCCTTATTATGTATGAAATGACAATCAAGTTTCATTAATAATAATCTCATAATAATCTTCTAATGAGAACAAGGCTATAGGATCTTCTGGTCCTAATAATAACAGAAACTTCTAGTCCTTCAAATAGTACTCACTTGAGTTCTTAATGATTTTTTTTTTACATCACAAACTAAATCGTGATAATTTAATTAGTTATGTTTAAAATTAAAATTAGTTCAGTAAACTTCTGGTTTACGTGAAAAACAAATCTCGATCAAGTGTCATGTAATATTCATTTCCACTGGTATCTTAAACATTAATAGAGACACCCTAAACAATAAGAATTTGTCAATACCCAAGAGAATATTCGTCAATGCAGGACAATAACTATTCTCTCAAAATATTCAATATTTATGAGACTTTTATTACTTCTATTATGCAGCTCTTATTATGCAATGCTCTTTTGGAGCTATCTGTTAGTTTTGTATAACAAGAAAAGTATATCTATACTAACTTCTTTTATCACAAGAGAAAAGAATCTCTTACATCTTAAAAATATATAGACTCGTGATGCAATATGGCATTGTTTATAACCAAAATAATATTCCTCAATGTAATAGAATATTAGGTATATCTCCCAAAATATTCAATCTTTATAAGGCTTTCAATACTCCCTTTATGGAGCTCTTATTATTTATTTTTCTTCTGGAGCTTTGGAGTATTTTTCTACTACAAAATATAACATTTACATGCATTGACTTCTGTAATCAAGAAAAAAAATCTCTTACATCCCTTTGATCATAATATATTTACTGGATCATTCTTCGAGAATATTGAAGTGGAATAATATATAGATTAGAAGTTAGAACTAAGGTTTTGAAATATCAAAACATGTCTTTATAATGAGATTTTTTTTTACTAAAAATAAGCCACTTCAGGTGGTAATTAAATATTATAAGACCTTAGGTA